TCTCTCTCTCTCTCTCTCTCTCTCTCTCTCAAAAATAAATAAACATTAGGGATGCCTGGGTGGCTCAGTCGGTAGAGTGTCCAACTTTGGCTCAGGTCATGATCTCGCGGTCTGTGAGTTCGAGCCCCGCGTCGGGCTCTGTGCTGATGGCTCGCTGCCTGGAGCCTTCTTTGGATTCCTCTCTCCCTGGCCCTCCCCCACTCACGCTCTGTCTTTCTGTCTCTCTCTCTCTCAAAAATAAATAAACACAAAAAATCGTTTAAAAAAAGGAAAGAAAAGAAACAAAGTAGGCCTGTCACCTCAAGGAAAACTAATAGTATCTATTGCTTGTGATGAGAACCCAAACTTTTTTAAAAGGCACAAACTTCTGGTTAAAAAATAAGTAAGTCCTGGAAACATAATATACAGCATGGTGACTGGAGCTAATAATACTGTATTGTATATTTGAAAGTTGCTAAGAATAGATCTTAAAAGTTCTCGTCACAAGAAAAAGAAATTTGTAACTCTGAGTGGTGATCGATGTTAACTAGACTTACTGTGGTCGTTTCTTAACATATACAAATATCAAATCGTTATTTGATACATCTGAAGCTAATGTAATGTTATATGTCTAAAGCCAATGTACATCTGAAGCTAATGCAATATGTCAGTCTGAAGCTAATGTAATGTTATATTTCAATTACACCTCAATTAAAAAAAAAATCCAAGCTTTTAAGCGATCATTGCAGTCCCTTCTCTGAACTAAGGACTTCCACTTTCTTCAGACACGCTTTCTGCCTCTTTCCTCTCTTTCTGGGATTCCCTTCATGCATGTTGCGAGCTTGGTGGTGTCCCCTAGGTCTCTGAGATTCTGCCCACTTTTCTCCATTCTTTTTTCTTTCTGTTCTGAAGACTGGATCATCTCAATCACCTTCGAATTCATTGACTATTCTGTCTGTTCACGTCTCCTCTTGAGCTCTCTAGTGGGTAAAGGCGCGTGTGAAAATACAGATGATTGGATTTTATGTAACTAGTTGATAGGCTTTCAGATTCCACATTGCACCCACTTTAGTTTCTTTTTTTTTTTATTTTTATTTTTTCAACGTTTATTTATTTTTGGGACAGAGAGAGAGACAGAGCATGAACGGGGGAGGAGCAGAGAGAGGGAGACACAGAATCGGAAACAGGCTCCAGGCTCTGAGCCATCAGCCCAGAGCCTGATGCGGGGCTCGAACTCACGGACCGCGAGATCGTGACCTGGCTGAAGTCGGACGCCTAACCGACTGCGCCACCCAGGCGCCCCATCACCCACTTCAGTTTCAAAGAAGATTATTGGCAATCATATGGAAAGACTATTAAAATACTCCCTCCTTTTCCAAGTATATATCTGCGTGAAGCCAGATTTTCTTCATGTATTTCAACCAAAAGAATGTATCGTATCACAATGAACGTGGAAGCAGCAGCTGGTTTTTAAGCCAGATATTAGATGTGTGAACAAATGTAAAGCAATGCCACTCTTAGGAAATGTTACTTTGTTTTAGAAAAATATGTGTTATTTATGCTGACGTAATGAGTTTGTTTTTGGTATTTAAAAAACTTGTTATTTTAGAGAGAAAGTGTACAAGTGGGGGAGAGGGGCAGAGGCAGAGAGAGAGAGAGAAAATCCCAAGCAGGCTCCACACTCAGCACAGAGCTTGATGAGGGGCTCGATCCTGTGACCCTGGGATCATGACCTGAGCTGAAATCAAGAGTCAGATGCCCAATTGACTGAGCCACCCAGGCGCCCCTATTTTTGTTATTTTTAAATGAATAAATGTTTTCAACTTTTCTCTGTTTTAATTTTAATATGGTAAATAGTGATATATAACCCCATAAACAAACATTCTTGGGAGTCCTCAATTATTTTTGAGCGTGGAAAGGGGTCGTGCCGTCATAATATTTAAGAACCTCTGGTCTAGACCAACCCAGGGGGTTCAAGCCCAGAGGAAGCCCCACCCACTTAAGGTTACATGTACCTCTTTTTCTTTAATATGGAAATGAGTAATTTAGAAAGAACAAAGAGTATTCCAGCAAGTAGAGTCATTCTGGCAAGACTTTCACAGCAAGTCAGGAATGTTGCTGCTTCCTTTCGCCAAAAGGAGAGACAGTCAAGAAGGGAACGCAATGAATTGTTCAGGGAATTTCTTCCGGGATGTTTTTGCATTCCTGTCAAATCACTGTGGGGCACACAGGTCACTCTGCCAGCATCTTGCAAAGATTCTAAAGCCCAGTCCTACTCACACCGTTTCAGCTGCTGTCACCGAAGTCCCCTCCTTGGAGCTTCTCTTGCTTTTCTAGTCTCCACGGAGCAACTTAGCCCAGAAGTGACCGACAAGGTTCTCGCAGAGATTCGATTGTTTCCCCTAGTAGGTTTTGTTTTGTTTTGTTTTTTTTAATGTTTATTTATTTATTTTGGTGGGGGTGGGGCAGGGAAAGAGGGAGAGAGAGAGAGAGAGAGAGAGAGAGAATCCCAAGCAGGCTCCATGATCAACATAGAACCCAACACGGGGCTAGATCTCACGAACCCTGAGATGGTGACCTGAGCCGAAATCAAGAGTCAGATGCTTCACTGACTGAGCCGCCCAGGTGCTCCCTCCTTTACTGCTTTCTTACCTGGTCCTTTGATCTCTCTGCCTTACTTTCTTCTCTGCCTTTCTGTTTTTTCCACACAAGTCCTGGTACTTTCAGGGCAGGTGGTTTCTCTGGCATAGAGATCCTGGTCTGGATAAATCAGGAAATCAACCCAACTACTTAGAATTTTCCAGTAGCCCATGGTACTGTTTGATGCTCCTTGTAAGTTCCTAGCTGAGGCCAGGTCTCCCAGAACTACTGGAAAAGAGGCATGTAGGCAGTGGTATAGGCCATGTGGAGCTCAGGCAGAGGCCCCTTTCTTTTTGTTCAGCCTTAATTTGGCTTAAATGAAGAGACCCAAGCATAAGTGATGAGGATGTCTCCAAGGGCAGACCAAGGACAATTTGTAGCAGAATGTATTTGGGACCTTAAAAAAATTTTTTTAATGTTTATTTACTTTAAAAGAGAGAGAGAGCACAGGCGGGGCAGAGAGAGAGGGAGACACAGAATCCAAGGCAGGCTCCAGGCTCTGAGCTGCCAGCACAGAGCCCAATGTAGGGCTCAAACTCACAAGCCATGAGATCATGACCTGAGCTGAAGTCGGATGCTCAACTGACTGAGCCACCCAGGCCC